GACACAGACTGGACCAGTGATCTCTGGACTGTAGGGTTACAGTATGACACAGACTGGACTGGTGATCTCTGGAGTTGAAGGCCCATTGTACAATCCATGAAAGTGCCTACAGTGGCTGAGCCAGCTGCGATTCCCACTTCTTTCTAATGCCTTTTTGGGGCTGTTAAAATATGTATTTGTGAAATGTAGCTCATAATGAGATGGAATACCAAAGCGCTGAATATTGTGCCCGAGTGTTTTTTCTGGACACCACTTGGCAGTGCCATCTATAAAAAGTGCATTAGAAACACGTGTAGTGTACTTACACTGGGCAGCACAGCCTTGTCCTGCTGCTCCTGGAATTAAAACAGAAGGAAATGAAGACTAAGGACAACACAGCCACCACACACCACCTCTACAGCATGCTCAAACAGCAAAACGTCAGCTGGTGTATTTCAACAGCTGTGCAGTGCAAATGAACACTGTGTGGCAGTGTAGTCTGGAACACACACAGATGGGACCATTGGCCACAGTTTTCATTATACAGCCCACTGAACAGGTCCTCACAGGTAGAAAAGCTTTTGTTTCATCAAGACAGCATTGCAGAAAGTGGTCTACATTCCTGAAACAGAGGGGCGCCCAGCTGTCTTCAGGCACGGGGGAGAGACACACTCACCACCAGGGCCCGGACCTTCTCGCTGACCTCCCTCTTCTCCTGCTCCAGGCGCGCAATATCCTCGCCCACCGCCTGCAGCTCCTGCCACACGGACACCTGGAGAGAGAGACGCACGTGAGCGCTGCCCCTCGCGCACCTGCACCACCTGGGGAGACTACTGATACACGCCCCGCTCTGCTCTGCCTAGTGTCGACTTGGGACCTCAGCTGACGAAGGCGAGAACGGAGCTCAGACCATCCCGCAGCGCGCCTGGCACAATCGAAGAGGGACAGATAGGCAGGCTGGAGGACGGACACTCAATAGGGACAGGCAGGAGGACGGACACTCAATACGGACAGGCAGGCACACAGACAGACTCACGATCCCTCGCACGTCCTCCCCCCGCAGGTCCCCTTTCCTGCTCTCCACTTCTGTGATGACCCTGTCGGTGTGCTCACACACGAAGCGCATGTCCAGCACGGGCTTGTCGCTGTAGCCCTCGCGGACGTGCTCGTACAGGCTGCTGCGGCCCGTGTGTCTGCAGCGGCGACCCACCCCACCGGCTGACCCCCAGAACCGGCGGGGATCGAGCGGCTTCTTCAGCGACACGAAGCCGCCGCGCAGAAACACACCCATGGGCGCCGCCATGTTGAATACGGAAATGGGGGATGTGGGCGGGACTGGAAACACTTGTAGGCCAATGGGAGCGTCGGGGCGGTGAGGCGGGATCGGACTCCAACCAATCAGACGGGCGGAAGTGCTCTAGGTTGTTCCGATTCCGACTACGCTGTTGTTCTATGGGACCGTGTGCGTGTGGTCGTTTTGACAGTCGGAAAAAGTGGGTTTTTAAAAGGAACATTAATTCTAATTCGGCGTCGTTTCTCCAAAGAAGACAGTCAGGCGGTGCCTACAGGTTAGTGGTCCCTCCCCGCGGTCTGGGAGGGGTTGGTTCTGCAGGTGCTGGACGGTCCACCGGTGAGATGGAGCCAGAACACCGCGTTCAGTAGTTCCTCATCTCTCCCGACACAGGAGCCCGCTGCACTAGAGCCGCATTCCCCGGGATGCGCCCGACCGCTGTACCGACAGGCACGGCGTGTGGATCGGGCTGCGGTGTGCAGGACGCGGGTGAGCTGACGCGGCGTGCGCCGGGGTGCAGCGGTCCGGTCGCCGGTCCGGGAGAGCGTGTGCCGGACTGACTCAGCGCACCGGTGAGCTTCGGGCTTCGGGGGCGACCGAGTAACCCGGGGACGGAGGGATGGGGAGGGGGGTGGAGAGACCTCGGCAGTTTGTGCTCTCGTTGATTTTCCACGCTGCTGGGAAGGAAAGATGGTGGCCCCGCGCGCGCGTGTGTTGTTCTGGACAGTCTCGGAGGTCCCCCGGGGAGAGTGCGGGGGGGCCGTGGGTCTCTGATTGAGCCCCCTCCCCCGTCTGTCCGCCTCGGTCTGTGTCTCCGTCAGACATAAACTACAGCCGGGAGCTCGGCTTGGAGATCAGCGTGGCCTCCGCGCAAGTCTGAGGCGCACAATTATGTATCTCTCTTTGTATCCTTCTGTCGAGAACAGAACAGACTGTCACACCGTCGCTGTAAGTGTCTGGATACCTTTCAGCCTCCCTGGCAGCCCGCCTGTCTTTCTCTCTGATTCTGTTACTGTTCCTGTCTCTGTGGCCTGGCTGTCCGTTCTGCCTGCTTGTCCAGTGCCCGTGGCGCTGGGCGCTCTGTCTGCCTCCTGCCTCCTGCCTCCTGGTTTTCCCCATTCTGCTCCCCGGAGGGTGGGAGTGTTCACCCCACATCTGCGTCGCGGGTAGAGATCCCACGCGTCTCTCTGTGTGCCCTCTCCCCTCTCTGATCTGTCTCGTCATTGGGGTCAGATCGCTTGTCCGTGCAGTTGGTGTGTATCATCTAGCCAGCAGCTCTATCAGCCTGCCTGGAAGAGGTGTTAGTGGGACCAGTAGGGGGCGGTCACCCTGCAGTCTGTGAGGGTCCTAATGCCCCAGTATAGCGATGGGGACACTTTACTGTAAAAAGGTGCCGTCCTTCTGATGAGATGTAAAACCGAGGTCCTGACTCTCTGTGGCCATTAAAAATCCCAGGGCGTTTCCTTCATGTTCCTAAATCAGACTGTGTGTGAGCAGTGACAGAGGCTGTGTGTGTGTGAGCAGTGACAGAGCCTGTGTGTGTCTGTGTGTGTGTCTCCGTGTGACGGAGGCTGTGTGTGTCTGTGTGTGTGTCTCTGTGTGACGGAGGCTGTGTGTGTCTCTGTGTGACGGTGTCTGTGTGTGTGTGTGTCTCTGTGTGACGGAGGCTGTGTGTGTCTTTCAGGACAGTGTCAGCTGGCGATGTGGCGGCCGCAGCCCTGGCAGGATGGGGACAGTGGCCCAGGAGAGCCGCTCTCCGACAGCGACTCTGAGGAGGAGGACTTCCCTGACGACACCACCACCCCTCTGGGAGAGTATGTCACCCAAGGTACCCAACTGACCCAGGGCGATCGCTCTCCGTGTACACTGACACAGCGCGCACGGCGCACGGCGCACACCTGGACAAACTGAGGGGCCGGCGCACACAATGAAGAAGCCTCCCAGTACCCTGACCAATAAAAAAGTCCCGGGTGGAACCTTGCACCAGAGCCACAAGTATCGGAACCCAGCAGTTACAGGATTTCTGGGCTGTGTCCTTCATCGATTGTGACTGGGATTTCCAGTTACTGCAGCAGCCAGCAGGCTGGACACCAGTAGATCAGAGTGGTCTTGCTCTTGTATCGCTCATTGCATCACAGAAGATCTCCCAAATCCTACACCCTGCTGGTCTCGGGTCTCGGGTCTCGGGTCTCGGGTCTCGGGTCTCGGGTCTCGGGTCTCGGGTCTCAAGCCTGACATCATCATGCTGCAGCGCTCCCACTCCTCAGCAGATCCGGGAGAAACGAGAGAGTCAAGGGGGAGTTTTGGGAAACCCAGATTGCACAAGGCAGAATAGAAGTGAGCCAGGACACCCCTGCTGTTAGGAACTGTCACTAGATCTGCAGGGACTGAGTAATCTGCACCTTATCCTCAGCCTCTGTAGCACAGTGTCCCTGGTGGCTACACTGGGCCACTGCTTTTATTTCGGAAAATAAAAGGGAAGGTTTTTTTTCTATTTTTAATTTCTTTTTAAGAGAGACAAGCGACACCCACTGGTGGAACTTGGCTTTATTGCCTTAGTATATTGAAGCGGGTTAAAGTGCACAGAAGGGGATTAAAATGTGTGTATAGAGTATTATGTATAATATGGGACGTGTGTTTTTTTTTAAAGGAGGTTGCTCAGTTCTTCGGTTATTTAGGTCATTCGGGTACTATGACTATTTAGCATTTTAATTGTCGAAAATCCTGTGAAGTTTTAAAATGTAAATTTCTCTGTCAGGTCTCAAGCAGCTCCTGGATGCTCGGCAGCTCTGTGACGTGACTCTGATAGTAGAGGG